AAAGAATGATACCTAATCAATGAAGCTGAAATGGTGATGAAAGAAGATGAAAGGGGTTGTTGTAGGTGATATCGAAGCGTTCAATACTTTGTATTTCTCTGATGCACCGCTTTGAGAGATTAAAGAAATGGGGGAAACAAAAGTCAGAGGGTAGATGAGGATAACCCTCATAGAAGACCCTACCTAGGGTGGTGAGCTCTCATTTCGAGAGAGAGAAAACCTCGGACAAGCAAATTGAAGGGATCATTTTTAAGGATTCTGTTTAAACTTAGAACTCATTCCCATTCCACAATGCTTTAGAAAAATTTAAAACAACAACAACGTATTATGTAACTTGATAATTTTATCCATTTTGTTTAAGTCATCTTATCCGTTTCTTAATACAATTTTGAAAGAAAAAAAAAATGTTATAGCCGTTTTTGGAAAGGGCTAATATCACTTTGTATCCTGAAAAATATTTTAATTCTCAATTTACACCATCAAACATTAAAATTCTCAATTTGTATACTCAATGTTATGAATTTGTATCAATGTAGTAGACTTTGCTCAAATTGTCTTCAATTTTCTATCATAAATTAAACACATGAGTTGCAAGTGTTTCAAACATAGGCTTATATATAAGTTTACAAATTGTTGGCACCTCATATGAGTTGCAACTGATAGAGTTAGTCTATTTGAATAGTGAAATCCCTATTTTTGATATAAAAAACGACATCAAATTGATCGTAGACCAAAATCTGCAGCGATGGACATAATTCATTCTCATGCTCGAAACACTTGCACCTCAGGAGTTTCAATTTATGGAAAAAAAAAAATGAACAGCGGTCTTGGTCTGATCTATATTACTACTAATTCATAATATTTAGGGTGTAAATTAAAATTTTTTATGTTTGAATGTACAAATTAAAAATCAAGAATATCTTTCGGGGTACAAAGTTAGATTAGCCCTTTTGGAAAAACTATTGCAGATATTATGATTTCGTATATCATATATTTTACCAAGCTTTAATTCATTTATATATATGGGTAAATATTATCATGGTGACTCGTGAGATATGCATAAAAAAGAATACCAACTTTTTTATTTCTAAAAGTATTTGGGAATTCAAGACATATATATTATCTAGAATTTTTTTATCAAAACGAAAAAAAATGAAGGTGTAAATTATAATATCGCTCTCAAAAGAGAGAGGGAGAACCGTCTTTTTCAGTGCATTCTTTATGTAGGATTGATGGAGCATTAGACTAAACATTTTTGGAAGCTGGAATAAACTAAATTTGGCAAAACACTTCACAATCACATGAACACCTCACAAGTGGAAGTGTGTCCCTTTGTGCATATTATTGGCCTTACAAGTACACAGCTAATATTCCTTCTTTTTAGAAATGGTTGAGGTTGTCCAATCCAAAGTGTGGTCGGACAGAGACTTGACGGGTATGGGCCTGGCATTGGTAATGTCGTTTGGATGACAGAACCCACCCTAATGAGACAGGAGGAAACCGGAGGGGACACCCCACGGGCCCCTCGACTTCTCGTTTTCTTGTTGTTCCATTGCCGTCGGGGTAACGTTGTGCGGCGCAATCAAACAAACAATTCAGATTGTTTTTGTTTTGCGGATACTAAGTGTATTGTAGCATCTTAAACTATGATTCAAATATCTATTCATATTTTTAAAAAATATTCTCTTCTTGTCTCAAATTTCATTTTTTTGTGTCATTAAAATTTTGAAATTTGATAAAATAAATGAAATTTTTATATTTCTCCACAAATAGGTAATTCAAAAAAAAAAAAAGAAGAAGAATATGGATATAAAAAACAGACAATTTTCAACGAAAATTGATGATTGAAGAAATAAAATAACGAATATTCTCTTCTTATCCCAAAATTTATTTTTGTGTGTCATTTAAATCATGAAATTTGATAAAATAAATGAAAATTTTATGTTTATCTACAAATAGGTAATTAAAAAAAAATGAATATGAATACAACAATACCACCTGAGAATAAAAAAAACAAAAAAATTACTCTAAAATTCTCAAATTGTTCTAATCTCTTATCTACTTCAATAAATTCAAATAAAAAAAGAAAAAAAGCAGTTACTTTGACATGAGTTTGATCTGAAAAATATAAAAAAACCACAATTTTTAACGAAAATTGATAATTGACGAAATAAAATAACTAATTTTCTAAATTTTGTGAGTAGTGAAGACTAGAAATTCAATAAGAATCATTGTTCTGCAATTGTACTACTAACATTATTTAACTCAAAAAAATCAAAGCAAAATTTGATGAGTAGGCTTAGAGTTTATATAGTATGAAAGATGAGCAAAACGATGGTTTGAGCCAATCTGAGAGAGACAACAAATCTAAAGCTTTGAAGCAGCAAATCTGAGAGAGAGGCCGAGAGAGACAATGGTTTGACAAAATCGAAGAAGTTTTGTGGTCAATCCATGGAAATGCAGAGAGAGGCGCGTGAGGGAGCAAATCTGAAGAAGTTTTGTGGTCAATCCTTGGAGATGCAAAGAGAGGCGCGCGAGGGAGATGTGGGCTAACTAGATGTATTGAGCCAAAAAAGGCCAACGGTAAATAGATAGCTAATTTGTTGAAGCCATCTTTTAAGGAAAAACTATCTAAAATAANCCAATCCAAAGTGTGGTCGGACAGAGACTTGACGGGTATGGGCCTGGCATTGGTAATGTCGTTTGGATGACAGAACCCACCCTAATGAGACAGGAGGAAACCGGAGGGGACACCCCACGGGCCCCTCGACTTCTCGTTTTCTTGTTGTTCCATTGCCGTCGGGGTAACGTTGTGCGGCGCAATCAAACAAACAATTCAGATTGTTTTTGTTTTGCGGATACTAAGTGTATTGTAGCATCTTAAACTATGATTCAAATATCTATTCATATTTTTAAAAAATATTCTCTTCTTGTCTCAAATTTCATTTTTTTGTGTCATTAAAATTTTGAAATTTGATAAAATAAATGAAATTTTTATATTTCTCCACAAATAGGTAATTCAAAAAAAAAAAAAGAAGAAGAATATGGATATAAAAAACAGACAATTTTCAACGAAAATTGATGATTGAAGAAATAAAATAACGAATATTCTCTTCTTATCCCAAAATTTATTTTTGTGTGTCATTTAAATCATGAAATTTGATAAAATAAATGAAAATTTTATGTTTATCTACAAATAGGTAATTAAAAAAAAATGAATATGAATACAACAATACCACCTGAGAATAAAAAAAACAAAAAAATTACTCTAAAATTCTCAAATTGTTCTAATCTCTTATCTACTTCAATAAATTCAAATAAAAAAAGAAAAAAAGCAGTTACTTTGACATGAGTTTGATCTGAAAAATATAAAAAAACCACAATTTTTAACGAAAATTGATAATTGACGAAATAAAATAACTAATTTTCTAAATTTTGTGAGTAGTGAAGACTAGAAATTCAATAAGAATCATTGTTCTGCAATTGTACTACTAACATTATTTAACTCAAAAAAATCAAAGCAAAATTTGATGAGTAGGCTTAGAGTTTATATAGTATGAAAGATGAGCAAAACGATGGTTTGAGCCAATCTGAGAGAGACAACAAATCTAAAGCTTTGAAGCAGCAAATCTGAGAGAGAGGCCGAGAGAGACAATGGTTTGACAAAATCGAAGAAGTTTTGTGGTCAATCCATGGAAATGCAGAGAGAGGCGCGTGAGGGAGCAAATCTGAAGAAGTTTTGTGGTCAATCCTTGGAGATGCAAAGAGAGGCGCGCGAGGGAGATGTGGGCTAACTAGATGTATTGAGCCAAAAAAGGCCAACGGTAAATAGATAGCTAATTTGTTGAAGCCATCTTTTAAGGAAAAACTATCTAAAATAACTAAAAATAGGGGTTTACCTAGCCTGTTGGAGATGTTCTAAGAAAGAAATAGTTGTGATTTTGAAGGATAAAAGTAAAAAAACATATTTTTCAAATATGTTCACTTTTTAAAGTAATATCGATAGGAGGGAGGCCATAGCCCGCTTGGTCTATACATGGTGATGGCCCTTGGGTATTGGCCTTTGAAGCCTGTTGGATTTGTGCATTTATGCAAACACAACATGTGTATTGGGCTTTGACATGAGTTTGTTAGTTTTTTCATACCTTGTAATTCGCGTATAATATTTGGGAAAATATATTCAATATATATTAATATATATTTCATTGTATTTTCATAAAAAAAACAAAGAATATATTGATTGGGAAACAATAATTTTCAATTTAAGAGAGCACATGCATGGTTTTATTTTATGTAGATTACTTGAGAAGTTAGACGTGGAGAAAGGTAGGTCACCAAGTGACTGAGTTTTTGCTGACTCACAATCCGAGTCAACTCAGTCTGTCCCACCCAAGGACAAGAACCTTCTGGAGGTTCTGCCAGGACAGCCTAATTAGACCGGATAAACCGAAGTTCCCGACCCTTCCACCCTGGAGGCTTGATCCCATTTTAAAGTAAACCACTCACAAGCAATCAACCAGCTACCATTTAACACATCATAAACAATCAATCTTGCGGTTTTAATGGTACTATCCATTTTTTCTACCAAGCTTTGTCATGGTGGCTCCCACACCTGATTATCACTCAAAATATATTTTTAGTCCACAAAATATGTCGTGTAGTTTCTATTTGATCCCCAATCTTCTAATTACGTCTATTATTTGGTACATAAAATTCTTAATTTATATCTATGTACCCAATTCAAATGTCCTTCAAAATATCATCAACGGCTCTGGTCAATGATTAATTACGTGGAACTAAATACAAACAAAATTGAAAAATATATGATTGACGAGTGATCAAAATTATAGAGATTTTTTGATGGACATTTGAGATTGAATCATGCAAATATAAATTAAAATATTGAGGATCAAATAAACAATAAACACATATTTTAAAGACTAAAAGTGTATTTATACTATACTATCGTCTCTAATGTGAATGGGAACCTGAGTTGTCATCTCTCCATAGAAAAAAGTAAAAACAATTCCCATTTTCTTGCCCCTGTCTTTGTAAACTTCTCCAAAACTTCTTCTTGTCTCTCTGCACCTTGCTCTTTCGTGTACAATTCTTATTTAGACAAGTCTTTGCTTTTCAACGTTGTTTTCTTGGTATTGTTTCATTTGACACATTGAATTCTAAGGGAAAAAAATGTCGAATCCCGACGACCCAACATTAAAGGAGGCTACAGCACCACCTACGGCGGCCGGCGATGTGGAGAACCAGACATCAGGGACGGGGTTCGGGGTGTCGGAGATTGTGACGCGGTGGAGGAGAGAGGATGTTCTGAAGAGAGGTTCATTGGCTTTGCGAGTTTTTGGTCTGCTTTTTTCATTGCTTGCTTTCATTATCATGGCTAGTAATGAACATGGCAATCGGAAAGACTTCGACAAATACGAAGAATACAGGTCAATCGATTTTATAAGAAATCTATTTATGTGTTTATTTGTATTTGTGTTGATGGGTTCTATGTTATACTTGATATGATGTGAATTTGGGATTTAATTGCAGGTATGTGTTGGCTATAGCGATTCTGTCTTCTTTGTATACAGGATTGCAAGCAATTAGACAAGTCTATGAACTTTGGACTGGTAGACAGTCGTTTCCGAGAAGAAACTTGGCGTTGCTGGACTTTTTTGGGGATCAGGTTGGTGTTTTGCATTCACTAATAGATTGAATTTCATTGAAATTGGGTGCAAATGGTTCTTGTTGATTATGTGTGTGGGGAGAGATAGATTGACTTCTAACTCATGCAGTCTTCAATTAAAAGGAACTGTCTTTCTCGTTATATTCTCTGTATCATGACAGTCCTTGAATTCATCCATGACTGACAATTTACACAATCAATAATTTTTGGATACAAAATAATCTAAATGGACCATTTTGAGTCAAAATTTTATGATTTTTGCAAAGTTTTTCTAGTTTAAATAACTTGGGTTGAACTGTGTTCAAATCAAAAATTTAGGGACAATTTGAAATCAGGATTATAGTTTGAGAGGGCAAGATATAATTAAGCCTAGCTTTAGTGATTCCATTAGAGTTGTTCCTCGGCTTCGTTTGGTTAGCATCAAAACACCGGAAAGTGCTAGAAAATGAAAAAAAACCAACTTTTTCTTTGTTTGTTTAGCTAGAAAGTACTATTTCTCGAGAATTTTTTTTTTTTTCTCTCGAGCGATAAATTTTCCCGTAAATATCTACTTTGGTTTCCTATAAATTGTGCGGGAAATTTTTTGTTTTCTGTGAAAGTTGCCTTATTTTTCCAGTTTTGCCTACTTTCTCTTTTCCCCGTTAAATTGATATGATAAGGATAATTTAATCCTAGCACCAATTTTTTTAGCCAACTTTTCATTCTAATCAAACACATACAAGAAAATAAATTTTCTTTACTATTTCCTTTCTTCCACTTCACTTTCTACCTTTTTCATTTTGTATCGTCAATTTCTTTCTAACCAAATAAAATTTTTTGTTTGTTGGAAAGTTCATTGTCTTCATTTCAATTTATATGGTGAGCATGTTGGTTGAAAACTGGCATTTGAGATTAAAACATTCTGGGTTTGCAGATTGTGGCATACTTGTTATTATCATCAGCATCAGCTGCGGTTCCATTGACGAATAGTATGAGAGAGAATGTGGACAACATTTTTACAGACTCCTCTGCAGCAGCCATCAGCATGGAATTCCTGGCGTTCCTCTCACTTGCATTCTCGGCTCTCATCTCTGGCTATAAGCTTTCTAACCAATCTTATATCTAAATGAGCTATACTTTGCTTTTCTATTCTTGAAGTTGTTATTGCTTCATTTGTCATTCTACACGATAAATTTGACACATGTAAATTTGTGTTTAAGTTCATAGGCCTTTGGCACTCTTCATGTATTTGTTCTTCCAAGGGAAGGTTCATTTTATAAAATGAAATTAGTAGTCTCTCTCTTTCTCTCTGAAAGCTTTTAAACTCAATTTGTAGTTTTCAGTTAGTCCAAAGGAATTATGATATGCATAAACTTTGTTGGAGCCTTTTACAGGTATGATCCAAAAATGTCTTTTTACAGGTATGATCAAAAGGTATCTTTTTAGACAGTTTTCAACAAAAGTCCTTTGGGCCTCAATTCCTCTTAGCATTAAGAAGAAAAGGGAGCCAAAGGGACATTTCAGTGAACTTTTTTACTTGGTGATTTGAGAAAAAAAATTGATTATGTCATTGGCGGGGAGAGAGAGAGAGAGAGAGATCAGGGGCTGACTTAGTGACTA